AGTCTAACAAATGAAGTGTTAATTTCCACGTGATCTATATGTGAGAATAATTCAAAGTTTTTCAAAAATATTATGTTTTTCTTATATTGACCGAGATCCTAACCAATATATGGAGGTATTATTTGATGCCAGACAAAAATTGTGACAAGAAGAAATTGTATAATGCGGGGTAAAAAATAACCCATTGCATATGATGCACTCGACTCTGAACTAAAATTACCTAACGATAAACAGTACAGCTGACTAGGATCACCTGCATATGTATGTAACAGACTTGTGACTTGTGATGGTGTGTCAAATAACAACAAGGCTGTTGGTTCGAGTTTTGACAAGACGGTTTTCTTTATTAAGATCATCATCAAAACCCTATAATGAAATGGCAAATTATAAATTTTTAAGCATAAAAACTATAAAGCTATTAAACAATATAACGTTACATGTACAATCAATATATCATATAGCTTTATCAAAATCCAAGGGAGATAATTCAATTATATGAAAATTACACAATAAAATATCCCATTGCCTTAATCAATGAATATTAACAATAAAATCTTTACAATAATTATCTCTCCAATGTATATGTACATAATGAATTATTGTTTGGCATAAAAACAATTAACAGGCATACCATTCAATGGGAATGGGTCAAATGCTGTACAACAGCATATAAGCTGCATACACACAACAGAAAAAGGATAATTACTCAATATCTACAAATCAACAATAAACAGCTTTGTAGATATCTTCACTAATCATAAAATAAAGTTTACTTTAAAAATAAGAAAAAGTGAGACAGCAATGTATTTACTATTTACATGTAACTCTATATACCTAAGGTCTCACTCTCACTATATACATTTACTCCAGAAAAGTGATTCAAGAATTAAGTGCAAAAATTACAGATTTCACATTTAATAAAATTAGAATCTTATTACTGATTAGTATGAAAAAATTACGTACCATGCAAGAGGAAATGTATGTCTCAATTTTAAATGTCTGATATGAAAACTGACCAAACTACACTTCCATCACCTTCCAAGACCAAGCAAGAAATTAATCAAAAACACAAAGAAAACTTGGAGGGAAGCACAAAAGCCAATAGAAAAACATTAGACAATACTAAAAAACCACTGAAACTAATGCAGGTGTCATAACAGTATTACATTTTGGTTCACGTCAAATCATAGCTTACGCAAAATAATCCCGGAATCTTCCCTTCCGATTCGGGCATTTTGATACGAGACTGGAGCTGAATTTTTTTATGAGATGAATAACAACATGTAAACTTCCTGTTTTGACGAGATTTATTAAAATTTAGGGCGTGCTGACTTTTCTATATACTGTCAAGAGAGGGGATTGATTAGGCCCTGGACTAGTTTTTCAAGCACCTGCTAGACTTCGACCGAAACAAACTTGCGTGCCTTGCTGGTTGGCTATGTATTTTTGGTACTAAAATCTTTATAAAGAATGGTTTTACAAGATCTGAAAAGGAAACTTTTCAGAAGTTTGTTTTGAATTAGTTACATCTACTCAAACTTGCTTATTTTTGGTAAGAATATATAGCAGAAATTAATACTGTTGTGACACCTAAAAGATACAAAATGACTATGGCCAGAATATAATTAGCGCCCTGAGGGTAACTCTGGACCTCTCTGGAAAAGAATAATTTAAAAATCAATACACTTAACTACAGATTAAATGAATAATTATATAATTCAGCTTTAGAAGTGTGCTGCAAGTAAAAACATATACATATTTAAATTAATGAATAAATGCACGTGCAATATGCATTACTATGCACATGTGCACAATAAATAAAAACATGAATCTGTGACATGTATAAATGTATTTCGGAATTATTGTATCTTTTTTTAGTAGTTTCGGTTTTGTTTTTATTTTGTAAACCGGAAAGCTGGAAAACAACAAAAGCCCATGCTGTAGTCACATGGTTACATCAGTGAGATCATCAAAGTTTAAAGACATATATTTACATTCGCTGTGTTTTTCTAGTAAGCTTACTGTGTAATTGATTTCAAAAACATTTTCGTGTATACTCACGCGTAGAAATATGCACGGAGAAACGTGCGTTAACCTGACGTCACAATGAGACTGCAGCGACGTTAGAAAATTTAATGCAATATATATAGGTCAGCGAGAAATTCAAATATTGAGTATATTTCAGTAGCCTCCAAACAGGTAAAATGTAAATATAAGGAATGTTTTTTAGTTTAGTGTGAATTATTGGTGTGTGAATCACACAGACTTGCACATAGGCATATTTTTCATGAAGCGCTAGCTCGCTTCATGAAATATGCCTACGTGACAAGTGTGTGTGATTCACACACCAATAACTCACACAAAGCTAAAAAACGTTCCTTAAGTAAACAAACACCTTATAGTTCAATGCAAACCAACAGGTTCTTGATTCTAGTTTGATTATTAATATTGATTTTGTCGGATACAATAGGTACTATCTAGAGCTCTGTTTTTGGACTTTCGGTTTGCAAATGTAAACATGCTGTTTACAGGGGGGTTGTGAACATGTGCCACACGGTATTACGAGTAGTTGTTTTGACACTTCCTGTAAGAAATCCTCACAGTGTTGCATAATATTCATGTAGGTTTGTAGAGTTGTATATCTCGATAAGTATGCTAGATGCATGTTGTTGTTTACCTATTTTTTTGCATTTTTCTACATGTTTTACTTAGTTTTGGGTATTTTTATCTTCGAGGTGTATATAAAGGCATCATTGTTCACAATTTAAATTAACAATAGAATGTTTCGTACACATGCACGACAGTAATGCACATCAGTATTAAAGTAGAAAATAAATATATCAGTTTCTGAAAATTTATGGAACGCAGATCTAGTCATAATACAGTTCTGTTTAAAAGAATGTTTTGATTAAGTAAACTTCATGTTAAATTAGAAGAGGTTTAGGAAATTGTTCCACATACATGTCTTTTGATTTACATATGTTGTGATGTTAAATCATACAAATATCTTATATATCATGGGTAATCGGTAAGTTTGGGTCAGTTAGACATGTGATGGTCACTTTATTATACAAGTTATATATACAGGTAGTTGTTCGCTGCTCAAGATAATTCTGAATGAAACTTGTGTTTAGTGAAATAGATAGTATTGTACAATTTATTATAAAATAGTGTTCAAAGAAGTTATTTGTACATTGAGCATATCACTTAATGTGTTCTTGTTTTATGATTTAGATGTTCCTACCACCTTTTTGGCTAGTAAATAAATACCATAAACCAATTTGAATTGTCGCTTTGCCCTACTTGGTCACATTAAGAGTTAAGCGTTAAGGGTCACGATAAAGTATAGTTCCCTTGCCGGCAACAGATGAGTTTTCAGATATAACACATGAGTCTGGAATTCGGCTAAGTTAATTTCTTATTTTTGTTCATGTAAGCATAGACATTGAATAAGGTCATGGACAGTTGAAGTTAATGTAATATTGAGTACATGCATATACATGTACTCAATATTTACATTAACTTCCAGTGCCTTTTATTTAGGTTAAGATGTAGTAAATGTCTTTAGACTAACTTGTTGGTGCTAGATCCGTTATTACCTCGTAATCATTTCAAATTTCATTAAAACTACATTAATTTTCTTCCCAATATTAGAATTAACATTATTGTAAAGAAGAGGCCATGAACATACAAATAACCGTTTTCTGAAAGACTGTAGGCGATCTTGATACATGTTCTTTTTCTGATATGATAAAGACTTCCATATTTATAACTGCTTTTCTTAATATTTCATCGGAAATGACAGTTTAAACCATGAATTTTCATCTTAGTTGACTACAAATTATGCCCGAAAACACTTAATTAGGGCCCCACAAGGATTTGCGGGTGCCCTATAATAATCACTCTGTCTGTCTTTCTGTCCGTCTGTCAATCTTCCGTCCACAAATTTTCTGTTTTTTCCTAATAACTTTTTTTATTGTAGTCCAATTAAGTTCAAATTTGGTATGGTAGTTCAGTAGGCAAAAAGACATATTTTGATGCGAAGTTTTTTTCTATGTCTTCTGGTTTGGAGCTGGGTGGTGGGGTAGATTCCTTAACTTTATATAAGAATGAATTGGCAAAGAGAGATAACTTCTGAAAATGTTCCCATTGTAAACTAAATACTGCATTGAATGAGTCCCTTGTTAATTAGCTTTCCTCCATTAAGAAAATCCAAAGCATTAATATCTTTATCTGTCACATTGAGATTAATTACCACCTCTGTCTGCAAATGAAGTTTGTTATGAAGTTAAATCTATTTGGAATGCTATGAACACTCTGAAATGTGGATTGAAGTATAAATGATTTTACTTTATTTTTGTTGAAATACCCTACTTTATTTATTTATTTATTTGGCTTCATGAAAATTCAAGAATATTATTAATTTTAAAGGCAGTAGGGTAAAAACCTCATTCTATCATTACTGAAAAAAAGTTCTTATTATAAATTAAGAATAAAATGATGAGAGAGAAGTACAATTAATCCCTTGGGATTTAGTCTGCTGCAGAAAATTTAGAAGGCTTATCTTTATCTGTCACTTTAAGATTAATGAAAACCTTTGTCTGCAACTGCTGTTTGTTTTGAAGTTAAGGTCTTGTCTTCATGATATATATTTGCATTCATTAAAGGCTGGCATTTTATATAACACAAGGTCCATTATTGTTAGATATACATTCGGTGTTGAGTTGTTCTTTACTGCCTTATGTAAAATAAATACAAGGATATTATTTAAAGGTTTTTGGATATTCAGGAGTTATCTTGAAATTTTAAGAATACAGTTGTTGTTTCTTATTCGTCATATATTTTTTAATCATTCCATAAGCTGCACCCTTATAATTCTACCCCATGGCGGGACCCTTGCTGACTGGTCAGTTTTATAGTTTGTCCTAATTAAATTTATAAGTTATAAAACTTCATTAAAAAATATATTTCTTAAATTTGGTATATCTGTAGACATCTTTTATGATATACATGTAGGTCACATATGTGCTTAAGAAATATTTTGACTATTGTACATATGATATTATAAAAATCCTAAAATACATCTGTATACTTCTATAATAATTATTCTTTGCAAAATTTTATAAAAAGGATTAAAAGCTTACTTGCAACGTTAAATTAAATTTAACAAAATGCATTTCATAATATACAAGAAAACATTGTTAAATATTTATATCATTGTTTTGTAGATAGTCCCACTACATGGGATCTTATTTACATATGTAGGGATGGTAACATTCACAAACTATCCAAGGATACCAGAAAAACGTCTATAATGATAAAGAATACTGAACCATGGCGACCAGAGTGTGTGTACAGCTCCCCCTACAGTCGTAATCTACTGGTCGGAATGTTTAATTATCACAAAAAGACAAGCAAGGTAATACGGTATAACGAAAACGGTCACGTGATACAGGCGATACAACGCAACAATACAGGACAAGAACTGTATAAATTACCTACCTATATAGAAGAAAACCGAAATGGAGATGTGATTGTGTCTGACTTTATTGATTTGAGTCATGGTACTGTAGTGGTGACAGATCGTGATGGAAGATATCGCTTCACCTACAGAGGACCTCAGTCAGGGTCCAAACTTTCACCACGTGGGATCTGTACAGACGCATTTTCAAACATCCTTGTGTGCGATTATTTCACGGACACAATACAAATGGTTGACAAGGACGGTAATTATCTTTCATCATTACTTACAAGACTACAAGGAATTGACGGTCCAGTGGGACTGAGTTATGATGACAAATCACATCTTCTTTGGGTTGCATCATGGAAAAACAACAGTACAATATGTGCATATAGATATATAAACAGACAAAATTATCTGACACTGTAATGATTTCACTCCTCCATGGCACCTGATCCCACATCTGATGTTTTGGAGGTTAGTGTTTGCTCTGCTTCTATTTTGTATTGTTTTATGGAATTTGAGATTGAATAGTGTTCGTTATTTCTTCATCCTTCTTAGAAATTCATGGATCATGGATCTCGACAAATGTTGATTCGAAATATCAAAGCTGAATTTTCTTTAGGGTTCATTTTCGTTAATTTCAAGGTACACAGAGACCCACTAGTTCTTCTAGACAAAGAGGTATAATTTTTTTACATGAGATGTGTTACACAGTAGATGACTGATTGTTTCAGTTGAAGACATGCATTAAATTTTTTTATTAGACCAACGTTCTCGAAAGACAGTTCGGGAATTTTGCTGTTAACGTTGTTCTCCAGCTTCTTCCTCAAACTACTTCTAATTTATAAAGTTTGCGCAGTAGCTAGTCTATGAAATATATGGAAATATATAACGAACAGAGTTTTTAAAAGTCGAAAAGTCTATTCAACAATACAAAATAGAGGCAGAGCAAACATTGACCTCCAAATCATAAGAGATAAGATAGCTCTTTATTAGTGGACTTGATTTCTTGATAATTCTACCGGAATGTAAATTAGGCAGGTCGATAGGTCAGAGGATAAGGAGGCCCAATATACATGCAAAACTCGTGCGCATCTGTCTCAGTGTCTGACGCTAAGGAAGCCAAATATGCATGTAAATCTCGTGCGGCTACCTTTGTTTTTGACGTCAGTGGGCGTGGACTATTAAAATTGGCATTGGAGTTCTCCTGTAATCTAAATCTTTGTATACATTTTTAAAATCTAAATTTACAATTTATTTTATCATAAAATGGAAATGTAAGGAATCGCTGTCTAGTTAGTATAGTATGCCAGAGACATCAACGATTGTGGGAAACATGGGATAATTTATGTAAAATGTATGCACTGTATGAAACATAAAATATGGAGATCACGAACAGTATTCAAGATCAAAAGTCTATAGAACAATATGAAATGGGAGCATAGCAAAAACGGACCTTCAAAACATCAGAGATGGGATCAGGTGTTGTGGAGGAGTGAGTTTCTCCTGCCCACCGGTCACACCCACCGTGTGCCCCTTGTCATGATCAGAAAATTACGGAAAAATCCTTCGTCAATTCAGTGTAAAATCTCATAACCCCAATCAATTGTTACATCAATGAGTTAACACCAGAACAACAGTCTAGTTTACGGAACAGAACATTTAATTGCATATTCCATCCTTTGTGCTGTTACACATGCTGGAAGTTTTGTTACAGGCATGTGGAACCCACTAAAGCAAAGGCAGCTCTCAAAAATCTACAGTTGCTGGTCAGGTGTGATGAAGGCGTGTTCATTCCTAAACATGTCAGAGATATATCATTGGAGATCGTAGGGATCTGTCAAGAGGTGACGGGAACCTCCAGTCTGCTCTGTACTTCTACCAACAGTCTCTCAGACAAAAACAATTTAATAAAATACAAAATGTTACAAAAGGAAGAACAATCATTATAATTGCGTTACTGTGTTAAAGATGTGATTTTGTGTGATACTGATATGGTTTACCGTTTCAATCCTCGTAAACCACGGTCAAAATGTTTTATCTTTCATCTTCTATCTAAAATCTAGTTTAATGAGAATGACTGAGAGTTTTTAAATGTTCACAGCCCAAACCCTTTAAGTTGTGATGTGTACAGGTTTTAATATTTCTGTATTGACAGTTCATTCAGTCATCTGACGATGATTAAAACTAAACTCTTCCCTTTGTTTTACTTCCTCGTTTTTTAATGGCGTACACTCATCGAGAAGAAATTGTGATGAGTGGATGTCGAATGGAGAAGTAAGTAAAAGTACATACTCTGAAAAGAAATAAAATCTTGAGAATTAAAAGAAAAAAACTTTCTTATCTAGTTCAGAGAGAGAGAGAGAGAGTCCTTTTACGCTGAAATGATAATTTTACAGATTTTTCCTTTCCTCAGTTTGATCTTAAAAATTGTTATATTGGACTCATAATTTATTTATCCATTTGTGTACTTTGCATGTTATTTACATCAAAAGAAAGCGAAAAATTGAAATGACTGTACAAAAAGTACACACAGAATTACTTTGAATTGTAATGTAAAAATGATTAATGAAATAAGATCATTAGTTATGAAATTTCACAGAAATATGTATTCTTCCAATAAATTTTGGACAAAATTTCTGTATTTAAAAAAAATTCTACTAAAATTATCGGTATGTTGATATCGCTGATGGAGAGGTACGGAGCACGACAAAAAAATTAAAGCAAAAGCATGCGGAAACCAAAATTTAACTCATTTATTTTCTATATTTCGCAATATTTTTCGACAATTTTCTCAAATATATCTTTAAATTGTTCTATTATTATGTATTTATATTTCTATTTAAAGTATTGTGACAAAATATTGTGATTTTTTTCTGACCCATTTATGAAAACGACTGTGAAAATGACGGCTCCTAAAGTGACGGCGCACCACACTTTTGTTAAATTATGTGGTAATTCTTAAAATATCGCCAACATAGATCCAAAATATGCATAATAAAACAAGTTTGCTTTTCATATTCGTCCACAAATAGCAAACTGAAATTTTAGACCGTGAGACCTCTGTATAAAGGATATAAGGAAAAACGGGAAGAAGATTTTCGACGAAAACTTTATCCGGACTGTAAAGAACGTGATTGAGAGTCACTAATATCATATTATATCTCATAAATACCTGCAGTTTTTGGTTTTAAAACAAAAAATGAATATTCCTCACTTGTTTAATAGATATGATATTAAGCTTGACAAGAAATGGTGTTTGGATGTTGAGTAGATAAGGTAACGAAACTGTGCAGTGGTAATGAAAATGTTGAGAAAATGAGAGATAAATCAAATATTTTTTTATAATGCCTGTAACGTCGAAGATTTTGCTGCTCCGTGACTTAATGGCATGTCCTGAAAAGTCACTCAAAATTGATACCAATTTACAACATTTTGATATGATATTTTGAAGACCATATAACAGTAAAGATTCTTTTATATTATGTGTGAAATTTTGAAAGTAAGGATATTTTTTCTGTGCCATACAATATAGCAACATATTTGAAATGATCCCATTTATATGAGGAGTGCTTAGAAGTAGATTTATATAACGTGTATTTGAGATTAGCGCAAGGGATTAAAATAAGGATTGGCTTTAGAAATTTGTGAAAAAAGACATTGGTGGGGTGTGCTCTCTAAATGAATCTAGCTATGGAAGGGGAATTGCTTAGCTTTGATATGAATAACGATGTTTTATAGAATATACCCTCGAATGTGTTAGTAAGTTAACATTCTCACAAATCATCAATTCCATTTTGAAAGAGAAAACACTATGATACATTTGATTAAACCAATAATCTTTTTTTTTAAATTTTGCTTTGGTATTTACAGAGGAAATTGAAATTAAAAAAAAAACTTTTACCTGTTTCCATGGCAATGGTAGGCATTTAGAAGTTTTTGAATGTTGACCGAACAAAAAAATGTCTAATCATTATTTCTGTAAATTTTCATTACAATTGTTCAACCCACTTTGGAAAACTACTAGCTGTGCGTATATAATCCTTTTATCTGTTTCTGTCATTCCTAAGGCAACTTTTTGCAAAAGATTCTATTTTTTTAAAATTGAAATTACTTTGACAGAATGTATGAAACAATCCTTCCTTACCTGTACAGTTTGTGTGAAAATCAAAGTTTTGCAGTTTTGGATTTTCTTCTGATTCCATGGCAACGATGGCAACGATCAGTGGTTTGAAAATTTTGAATGTCATTCGCACAACTACGATTACTGTTTATCCTTTTTATGCAAATTGATTACGATTGTCTACGGGATCAGCGAAAACACTTCTGGACAAAGATCTTCACCTCTCGTACGTTTCTATGACAACGGTAGCCATATTAAAAATGAAAAAAAATATTTTCCACAGGAATACAGCTGGGCATCATTTTTTATGAAAACATCTGGTAATATTGCCCCAGCCATGTGCGAGAAAGTCCCTGGATTGGCCTCTCTGTCCCACAGTGGGATTAGATCCGCAACGTAAGGATCTCTTTTACATACGACTCTAGAGCAAACGCTCTAAACACTGAATGCGCCACGCGAGCGAACTTATTTTATTTGAAAGAACTTTATTTTTATCTTACATGAAATTGCTTGATCAACTCTAGAAATTACTTTATGAAATGAATTCTCATAAAGTGGATGTGGATTCATATGTGTGTTTGGAGAAGATCTTGGATCCAGTAAAGTTTCATGCCATGACAGTTAAAGGCTAGATTCTACAAAAATAATTATGGCTTTAATAGAAACATTTTTTTTTTTTAGATATAACCGTCTCTACCTTGCGATGACTAATGCGATTTCATGCATTATTAGCCACTAAAAGAATTGACATTATATTTTATTTCGCATGGGTCAAATGGATAAGAAAACTCTCTAGCTCCTCTGACATTTAATTAAGTTCTTCTGAGCTTTTCTGGCTCTCTGTTTCCAGATGCTGTCTGTCTGTGTCTTTTTTCGTATGTCTAGACACCATAATCAATTTTTAACTACTTTCGAGAACCACGGGACCAATTCCAAATACATGTATCACATTGTTTTCTCTGTTAAAAGACATTCCTAATTATTTGAATGAAGGACCATGTATGGAATCCAGATTTGACATGAAAATATATAGAAAACAACTTTAAAATCCTTATCTCCAGCACAACAAATCTAGGAAAATAATAAAAAAACATTTTGACAAAGTGTAAATTCGAAATTTGTTAAACTGTGTGGACTGAAGATAAGATTGATTACCAAAATATAGGCATGTATTTTGTCTTTTGTAAAAAAAAAGAGAGAGAGAGAGAGAGAGAGAGAGAAATGGCGCTCATGCACGGGAAGTTCTAGTTTTTGTAATGGAAGTTCATATATTTGTTTGTTTGTTTTATGTTGATAAATGCTCCTCTCGAGAATTTTTTACTCATATGGAGATGCCGCGACTTAATGGAAAGACCCAAGTAGTTTCAATGCCAAAAAATCTTCATTATAGAGACACAGTGATTCAAAGTTGATGAAGATAGATATTTTTCTAAAGTCCACACATCAATTCTTAAAAATTTTAGGTTTTCATAAAACCACGATTGTGGACGCTTTTTGAGAAATTTTCTAAAAAGGAAAGACATTGTCTGGCCCAAGTTAAGACTTAAAACAAATTAAGATATTGCTTTTAAATTACTCCTTTCAACCTAATTGTACTCATACATGTACACTGAGAAATTGAACATTTTACTATGGTCTTGAATCCAAAAGAGAGGGATATCATTAGACCGAGGGCTTTGATACAATCTTCGAGTAAAAAAACAGAACACATCTCTACTCTACCCTGCGCAAATTCAATGTTCTTTAAGAGTTTCAGGCTAATAAAAAATGTCTTGCAACCTTCATATTATGTGATAGACACAATGCTTGTTTTTCTGCACTTATATTTTGCATCCTTTGAACGCCTTGCAGTGCAGTTGAGTTTGTCAGAAACTTCGCTATACTGTTATTATTTCCACACATCCTTCGATTTATGATAAAAATATCATTAAAGAAAATCACGCTTTTGACTCATTTTGCCTTTTTAAGGTATTCATCGACATACATGTTCCAAATCCTATTCGTGGATGGTGAGGGAAGATTTAAAATTCATATATGAATTTAAGAAAAATGCATATTTTACCCACCTTTCTCTTTAACTTTTTTTTCACAAATTTTAGGAATACTGCTTATTGGTTACTTTATTAAATGCACTGTCCAAACAAAAATATTATTAATACTTTATTCATTTTAACTATGTTTGTTAAGACAGTTTATTGAAGAAGGTATATATTAAATATTACAGGAACGTGACATCAGCTTGTCCCTTACCAATGGCAATCTTTTACTGTGTCACTTGCATCACCACTCTCATACAGTGTAGAAGTATGGACATATCCTTCCCAAATAAATGTGTTTTTCTACAAATATTTATAAAATGAGCCACTGGATATAAAAAATTAATAAAATACCGGCACCTTTTTTGAAATAAAGCGATTGCAAAACAAATGATTGTGAATCCACGGCATATAATTATAAACCCATAGTACATAATGAAATTATAGAGCCACAACATATAATTATGAACCCATCGCATATAATAATAGAACCACAGCATATAATTATGAACTCACGGGATATAATTATATGATAGAGCCACAACATATTATTATGAACCCACAGTATTTTATAATATACCCACAGTATATAATTATGAACCTACAACATTTAATAATGAACCCACAGCATATAATTATGACCATACACCATATGATAGACCCCATATACAAGGGTCATTTAATAAGTAATGCAACATACAGTATATCATAATGATTGTTGAGGCATTTATTTTTATTTTTTCGTAGTTGAAAAGTTCTACTTAAGAGGTCCTAAAGACAGAAAACCCCATGATTTTTCTTCTTGTCTTCGCAAAAAAATCACTTTTTAAGTAAGCTTGGTCACTACACTGAGGGAAAAACTGTTTATAAATTATCTCTGCCAAACAATGAAAATATCAGCGCATGTGAAAACTGTGCTTTTTACATAAATTACCGAATAACTCATATTTAATATATGATTTTATATGTAGAAAAAAAAGTTATCATTAATGCAGTATACTTTTCAGATGGAATCTATCACTCACTATTATCACTAATATGCTGCCCAACAATATGTTGGATCAACGTTGGGCCGATGAGCAAAATTACCGTGGGCCAACGTAAGGTTACCAACAGTGGGCCAACGTTGGAAAAAAAATTGGGCCAACGTTGGCCGAACTATGTCTTGCTATCTGGGTCTATACGGTCACACAGCGACTGGCTGTTGGTCAGCTTTGATGTCACTTATACAAATGTGCAATAGAAGGAGCTAATGGCTGCTGATGATGCTACTGACAGAGAAATAAAACGATTGCAAAACAAATGGTTTTGAATCCACAGCATATAATTATAAACCCATAGTATATAATTATTTTATAGAGCCACAACATATAGTTATGAACCCACAGCATTTAATAATGGACCCATAGCATATAATTATGAACCCACAACATTTAAAAATGAACCCACAGCATGCATGTATTATAATGAACACACAGCATATAATAGACCCACGACATATAATAAAAATATTTTTTAAAAAAAAATACATTTTACATAAGGCAGCCGTGGTATTCCATACATTTAGTTGGTTTTTACATCTTGTTTTATAAAAAAAATCCAGGAAGTTTTTAGTCAGGAAAATTTTGGTGTAAAGAACAAAGTGTCGACAGTGCTAAGGGTTGCTCTTAAAATATAATTCCCCTGCCGGTAGCAGATGAGTTTTCAGATTTAACATCTGAGTCTGGATTTCGGGTAAATTTAATTTTAATTCTTTTATTTTGGTCATAGACACTCGTTATAAAGAGATCACTAATTAAGGTCATGGACACTCGAAGTGTATAGTAAATATTGAGTATATGCCCATACTCAATATTTACATTAACTTCCAGTGCCTCTTATTAAGACATGATAAAATTCATTGGTAGACTTTTGATTATGATTGATTGGCCTGCATTTTGAATTAAAGTAAAAATACTGTTACAGTTGTTATTGATAAAAGGGCCTAGATAGCCAGTATTCCACAGGTGACCGATTTGTAGCTTTAATTTATGTTTTGGTATGATTCCTGTTGGTCAAATATGTGCTTTCAAAAAATTCTTGACTATTGTACATTTGATACTATAAAAATCCTAAACACACCTGTATTGATTAATTGTTTAAAAGCTTAATTGCAATATTAGATTTAACAAAATGTATTTCATAAATTACCAAAAACATTGCTAAATATTTTTTTCATTATTTTGTAGCTAGGCCTAGCATTCTAAAATTACGTACCTTCATGGACATGCTAGGATACAGCATTCAGTGTAAAGTCCGGCAGTGTTCTCTATGTCAAGGAGACACAGAATTTTACTGTAACACGTGTAACCAAGAACTATGTCTACAGTGTAAAGAGAGACATGTTATTGATCTTGATACCATATACCACGATGTCGTGATTTACCGGGAAAGATATGAATACATTCCGAAATATGAAACCTGTGTGAGACACCCGGACAGACTTTATGACAAATACTGTCATTCCTGTAAACTTCCTGTCTGTATCATTTGTAAAGAACACATAAAACATATCTTTCTCTCTTTTCTCCACCAAAGGACAGAAGAGAGAAAACATAAATTACTTGATATAAGAATAGCATATAAAACAAACCGTCAACAACACAGGGAAATTATTCACAACATCAGAAGTGAGATTCTTTATAACAGTTATTTTTTCTTTCAAAAATCAATACTGATTTTAAAACAGAAATCTCCAACCGTCAATCTCAGATGTCAGCGAAAGCAGAAAGAATTAAGATTCTCATAAACACTGTGATATATGATGTTAAAATTGGTCACAAAAGATTTGTTAATGAATTAAAACAACAGAAAAGGAAAATGAATAGACATCTTTCTAGCATAGAGAATCATGAAAATAGATGTGAACATTTTAGAAATAGACCTGTCAAATTCCTCTCCTTCTTAAAGAGAAGCCGTATCTCCAAGATAATGAACATTCCTAATCTTAAACAACGCACCCTGCTCTCCATGATATCTGGTGAAATGAGCATGGTGGATGTCATAGAATTACTGGCGGAAATCCATATCATCGAAAAAAGCATTGAATGTCCTCTTGAACTGATGCCTATACCCGTGTTACACAGATCTGTCACATTAACTGGTGTTAGTAACATTTATCATATCTCTTGTCTAACATCAGACCGACTTTGGATCAGTGATTATAAAAATCTTATTCTGATCAACATGAACGGTGAAATACTGCATCAGCTTATAGGTATAAGTAGTGAATGTGGAAAACATACAGTGAACACTACATGGGATCTTACTTACATATGTAGGGATGGTAACATTCACAAACTATCCAAGGATACCAGAAAAACGTCTAAAATGATAAAGAATACTGAACCATGGCGACCAGAGTGTGTGTACAGCTCCCCCTACAATGGTGATCTATTGGTCGGAATGTTTGATTATCACAAGAAGACAAGCAAGGTAATACGGTATAACGAAAACGGTCACGAGATACAGGCGATACAACACAACAATACAGGACAGGACCTGTATAATTTACCTAGCTATATAACAGAAAACCGAAATGGAGATGTGATTGTGTCTGACTTTATTGATTTGAGTCATGGTACTGTAGTGGTGACAGATCGTGATGGAAGATATCGCTTCACCTACAGAGGACATCAGTCAGGGTCCAAACTTTCACCACGTGGGATATGTACAGACCCATTTTCAAACATCCTTGTGTGCGATTATTTCACGGACACAATACAAATGGTTGACAAGGACGGTAATTATCTTTCATCATTACTTACACGACTACAAGGAATTGACGGTCCAGTGGGACTGAGTTATGATGACAAATCACATCTTCTTTGGGTTGCATCATGGAACAAGAACAGTACAATATGTGGATATAGATATATAAACAGACAAAATTATCTGAGAGTATAATGATTTAGAAAATTGCATTTGCATGGATCTTACAAGATAGCCTCCAACATCGACAAAAGTTGTTTGGAAATATGACAGCTGAATTTTCTTTAAGGTTTATTTTCGTTATTTTTAAGGTACAAAGAGACCCATAGCCACTTATTCTTCTCGACAAAGAAATATAATTTTTTTTACATAAAACGTGTTACTCAGTAGAAGACTGGTTGTTTCAGTTGAAGACATGCAGTAAATTTTTAGACCAACATTATCTTAATTTTTAGAAAGTTCGTGAATTTTGCCGTAAACGTTTTTCTCTATCTTCTTCCTCAAACTACTGCTAATCAATAAATTTTGCACAGTAGTAAGTTTATGACATATATGGAAATATATATTGATCAGAGTCTTTAAAAGTCGAAAAGTCTATCAAACAGAACAAAATAGAAGCAGCGCAAACAATGACCTGCAAATCATCAGAATTGGGATAACTCTTTATAAGCGGAGTTGATATCTTGATACTTCTACCGGAATGTAAATTAGGCAGGTCGATAGGTTAGGAGACAAATCTCGTGCGCATCTGTCACCGTGTCTGACGCTAAGGAGGCCAATGCATGTAAATCTCAGGCGGCTGCCTTTGTATTTGATGTCACTGGGCAAGGGATATTAAAATTTAAATCTGTAATTATGAAAATTAAAAAAAATTATATAAAAATTATAAAAATAAACCTCCTGTAATTTAAATCTATGTCTACATTTTTAGAATAAATCTACAATTTATTTTACAATGAAATGGAAATATACGGAATTCACTGTCTAGCTAGTATAGTATGCCAGGGACATTAACGATAATGGGAAACATGGGATAATTTAAGTAAAACGTATGCAGTGTATGAAACATAAATTATGGAGATAACGAACATTATTATACTTCTGTTAAAATGATTCCTATATAAAGTTCAGAAGGTAAAATAACTATTCTTCATAGTCTGAAAATTTCCCCGCATAGAAAACTATACCCCCAGGGTATAGTTTTTGCTACCCACCCCTCGGAAAATTTTCGTGCAAATTTTAGCGCCAATTTTCATTTCCTGTCATTTGATTGGTTGGCGATTCCTCCAACACTGAAGAGTTCCAACTGTATTTCCGAAACAAAATGTCGTCTGGGAGTAGATACGAGGCCGATATTGACGCTCTTTTACAATCTAGGGATAGTAAAAACACCCAAAAGGTGGTGAAAACCGCCCTGAAGCTCTTACAAGACTACCTTATTGAAAAATATGAATTAAGCCTCGAGGATATGGAAAAATTGTCGATTGTTGAGATGTCCGAAAAACTGAAGAAATTTTACGCTGAACTGAGAAAACCCGACGGAAGTTACTATGCCAAGAAATCATTAATAACAATGAGGTTTGGACTTCAAAAACATTTTTTAAAGAAAACATCAGTGGATATCATTAATTCAGATGAGTTTAAATCATGCAACGAAGTTTTTAAAGCTATGTTGGTGAAGATCAAGCGCGAGGGAGCACCCGAGGTAAAACATAAACAAACAATCTCAACAGAAGATCTAAACAAACTTTATGAAAGTGAAGCATTTTCTCTGAATACAGCTATGGGGCTGTTAAACAGAACATTCTTCGAAATAGTTTACTACTTTTGCAACCGTGGTCAGGAAAACTTGAGAAGCTTTCAAAAAACAGATTTCTCAGTGAGAACAGATCCAGAGGGGAAAAGATATGTGTGCAAAGTCAAACATAGGGAGGAGAAAAATCATAGAGGGGACGATCTCACGGACGACCAAACAAATCAGGCCAGGATGTACGAAATGCCAGGTTTGTACACTTGACTTGTCAATTTGTATCTTTTTAATAATCAAAGAAAAAAATTATTTAAATACATGCAAATTTAAATATGTTTATTTTTTTAACAGGAAATCCCCGTTGCCCTGTGAATAGTTTCATGAAGTATATTGTGAAGCTGAATCCTGATAACCCAAATCTATGGCAGCGCCCTAAATCATCCGTATCAGAAACGCAATCGGTTTGGTTCGACAACATTCCCCTTGGAAAAAATACGCTTGCGGCGATGATGTCCACTATTAGTAAGAGTGCTGAAATATCTACTATATATACCAATCACTGTATTCGAGCCACGTGCATAACAAATCTTGACAGGCAGGGAATTGAGGCAAGACATATAGTTGGAATATCTGGTCACAAAAATATATCTAGTATTATGTCTTACTCTACGAGGTTGAGTGACCAGAAACAATTTGAAATTTCGAAAATACTTTGTGAAAGTTCTAAAACTTCCTATGGAAATTCTAATGCAGCAGCTTGCAGTGACTCTGGTGTACAGGAGAATCAGATTGATTTCTTAGATGATTTTGATGTCGACACATTTTTTGCCGGATTAGAAAACTTTGAACTACACAATGTTAAAAGTGTACAAAGCGCTCCATCAGCTTCCTCTACAAAAAACACTGAATGTGGGGTCAACATACACAATTCTACTGTCAACATTAACATTTACACAAATAAACTGTAAACTCCCCTTATAAAATCAAGTGCAGAAAAAATGGTGTTGATCAATGTTACTGTGTCATGAATAATGTTGAGTTAATTATACCTAGTAAATTTTATGATGTTAACATCATTTGATTTTTAAAACTGTTAAAAATTTCTTGTTTTTTGAAATTTTAAATTAAATGTTACCTGAAATTGACATTTTGCTTTTTTTCAATTAAAATATTATTACAAAACAAGGTACATCAGTATAATAAAACGCTTATCCACTGGCTGTGAGTGGGATAGCTCTTTTATCAAACCCTTGACAGGAACTATTCCCCTCGGGCAAGCCCTCGGGGAATAGTTCCTGTCGCGGGTTTGATAAAAGAGCTATCCCACTCACAGCCAGTGGATAAGTGTATAATATTCAAGATCAAGTCTATTAAACAATATGAAATGGGAGCACAGGAAACATGGACCTCCAAAACATCAGAGATGGGATCTGGTGTTGTGGAGTAGTGAGTATCTCCTGGCGACCGTTCACACCCGTGTGACCCTTGTCATGATCAGGAAATGACGGGAAAATCCTTCGTCAATTCAGTGTAAAATCTCATTACCCCTTTCGAAAATGAAATTTGATACATCAATGAGTGTCAGAGATATATCCTTGGAGATCGTAGGGATCTGTCAACAGGTGACAATAAACCTCCAGTCTACTCTGTACTCCTATCAACAATCAGTCAAAAAAATTCAACAAAATACAAAATGCTACAAAAAGAAAAATGAAATATCTACCAATTATTATTATTTCGTTACTGTGTTAAAGATGTGATTTTGTGTGATACTTATATGGTTTACCGTTTAAATCGTCGTAAACCACGGTCAAAATGTTTTATCTTTCCTCGTCTATCTAAAATCTAGTTTAATGAGAACGACTAAGAGTTCTTAAATGTTCACAGCCTTAACCTTTTAAGTTGTGATGTGTACAGGTTTTAATTTAAACAATAAACTGCTTTCTTTATTTGTTATTACTGGAATGAACGGAAGCAGCTGTTGCAGAAAAAATACATAACCCGCGTAAGCGGGTTGTGTAAATTTTTTCTGCAATAGCTGCAACCGTTCATTCCAGTAATAACAAACAAAGAAAGACATTTAATTGTTTATATTAATATCTGTTTAAATAATCAATTAAAGTAGGATTAAAAAGATTAATTATTATATTAATGATGCGAACGTCTTTATACGTTTCATTGATGGAACAGCCACTGATTAACATGGATTAAGGTGACATGCCCACTGTAGTTTATGCAGTGATGAACGCAATGGGGTTTCTTAAGAAATAAAGGAGAAAATATTCAGTGGATGTAAATATATTTCTGTATTGACATTTCATTCAGTCATCTGACAATAATTAAAACTAAACTCTTCCTTTTATTTTCCTTCCTCGTTTATTTTTTATTGTCGTAAACTTTGCGAGAAGAAATTGTGATGAGTGGATGTCGAATGGAGACGTAAGTAAAAGTATATACTCTTAAAAGAAATAAAATCTTGAGAATTAATAGAAAAAAAACTTTCTTATCTAGTTCAGAGAGAGAGAGAGAGAGAGAGAGAGAGAGAGAGAGAGAGAGAGAGAGAGTCCTTTTACGCTGAAATGATAATTTTACAGACTTTTCCTTTCCTCAGTTTGATCTTAGAGATTGATATATTGGACTCATAATTTATTTATCATTTTGTTTACTATGCATGTTATTTACATCAAAAGGAAGCAGCGAAAATTTGAAATGACGTACTCAAGTAAACAAAGAATAACTTCAAGTTACAATGTAAAAATGATTAAAGAAATAAGATATCGTTTTCCGAGTTTCTTTGGCCTGAGGTAACCTAATCGATTCTGTAAAGTAGATGTGATTACGTACCAACTTTAGGTCATATCCTAATGAAACTTTAAAAATTATTTTATTTCTCATATTGATATGTCTATTTTGATTTGTGACACAAAGAATAAGTTGTGCTTTTTAGACTCATTTATGGAAACGCAACTAACAATCTAGACCTTCCAAATATCTCATGCAGTTTGCATTTCATTTGCAAGAAAGTCTGATCACATGCCCACCTCCATGTCCTCAAAAATGTTGAATGTTAATTTCGATAGTATTGTCATTTAAGGAAACACATTGGCAAAATTAATATGAATGTAATAGAATTTGACGTCAAGTTCGCTGCAAACGTCAGCGGTAATGACGGAGAGAAAGGAAGATACATGAAATTTACGATTATTAGAATGTTATTTTTAACAAATTCCCTGACCTAATTCTAAAGCTAGAGGGTGTCGTAATATTATTGAATATTAAATCGTCATCTTGTTTATTTTCTCTGAAATGAAAGTAAGGATATTCCATACAATATAACAACATATTTAAAATAATCCCATTTACAAGAGTGCTTAGAAGTAGATTTATATAACGTGTATTTGAGATTGGCGCAAGGGATTAAAATAAGGATTGGCTTTAAAAATTGTGTGAAAAAAGACATTGGTGGGGTGTGTTCTCTAAATGAAACTAGCTATGGAATCGCTTAGCTTTGATATGAATTACAATGAATAATAGAATATTCCCTCAAATGTGTGGGTAAGCTTTCATTCTCACAATATATACAGGATTTGTACATTAATGACACTTTGGCTTGCTCCATGTAGAGTATCATAAGTTTATGCATGTTACAAAATGTAAATTATAATTGAATCAAGTACTTGCCTCGAAGCGATGTATATGAAACACTTAAGAAGCAATTAACCACCAAGTGGTCTACCAGGTCATGTGATATCGCAATTAATGTTAGTATGAAGTTGAACGCTCCCATTGTGCAAATTGTCAGTATTTATATACATAGCATAGCTAACTAGGCAGTAATGAAAAGATCATTTTGATTGATGAATTGAATTTTGTTCAACTGCTCATACAGAAATTTTCACGCATATAGAGACGTCACCATATACGGTGAAGAGTTTCAAACTTAGATCGTTACATGGCTCTCAAGGCCATTAAGCAGTTAGAGTTCCTCATCGTGCCAACGCCTACTGTGACACATGCAGGACGTTGGCTTTGGAAGTCTCATCCCCGATAAGGAACAGTCACTACCTATGTTGACGTCTTAGGTTTGACGTGGAGCTGCGAACTAGAATCGAATCCAGGCCTATCGATTCTGAAGGAGAGGACCGGGATTCATAAGAATCGAAGTATTAATTGATAACATGTTTTCGATATATCTGAATGTCGCCTTTGAAGGCCACAGCAAGTGTTTTCTTCTACACACGTGGAAGTTTTTAATAAACACTTAAATAAAGAGATATGACAAGATAAATAACTTGTTATAACGAAATATCTAACTCGTTATTACGAGAAACCTAATTTGTTTTAACGAGATAACTCGTTATAAAAGAGATAACTAACTTGTTATAACGAGATAACTAACTCGTTATACGGAGATAATTACTCGTTATCACGAGATAACTAACTCGTTATAAAGAGATAACTAACTCGTTAAAAGGAGATAATTAACTCGTTATGACGAGATAACTTACTCGTTATAACGAAATACTGACTCGATATAACGAGATACTAACTCGATATAACGAGATAAAAAAAAATATTTTGGCAAAAATTAGGCTATACGGCTTTCGAAAGAACGCTTCAAAATTCAATGTGAATAAAAAAGCCGACTTTCTACCGCTGATCATCAATTCCATTTTATGGAAAACCACTGACACAATTGATTAAACCAATAAAATTTTGTAAATTTTGCTTTTGTATTTACTGTGAAAATTGAAATTAAAAAAAAGAAAAAAAAACTTTTATCTGTTGACAGCTGCTTCTTCAATAAAAATGAAACTCGTAAATTTACTTACCTCCTCATTGGTCATTTGCAAAATTATTTTGTAAGAACAGATTCTGATTGCACACATAAGTACTCTGAAGTTGACATCAAAGAGATGCTTGAGTTTCTGATTGACGGTATCTGTGTGGTTTTTGGAGAACAGTTATTCCCTCAATCTATTGGATTTCCAGATGGGTACAAATTGCGCTCCGTTATTAGCAGACTTATTTTTATATTCATATGAAGCAGAATTTATGCAAAATCTTATGCGTTAAAAGGAGAAAACACTTGCTGTGGCCTTCAACTCGAAATTTAGATATATCGACGACGTATTGTCAATTAATAATGGTAATTTCCATTCCTACGTCGATACGATATATCCTGGTGAGCTTGAGATAAAACATACCACAGAGTCTGACATATCCGTTTCATACTTGGATATTTTACTCGAAAAAGACATTAATGGTAATCTAACAATCAAGCTATATGATAAACGTGATGGCTTTAACTTTTCTATCGTCAACTTCCCTTACTTATGCAGCAATATTCCTTCATCACCTGCATACGGAGTAAATATATATCTCAGTTGATTAGATACGCAAAAGCATCCTCTACGTAAAACCAATTTCTAAAACGAGGTAAATTATTGACAAGCAAGTTGATGAAACAAGAATATAACAGTCTCGTTTAAAGTCATCATTTCGTAAGCTCTTTGGTCGATAAAATGACCTTGTCAGCAAATACAATCTATCATTGAGTCAAATGCTGAAGGATGTTTTTCATACCAATTGTTAGTCCATTATTTATACACTGAATTGACGACGGATTTTTTTCTCCATGGCACCTGATCCCACCTCTGATGTTTCGGGGGTCCGTGTTTGCTCTGCTCTTATTTTGTATTGTTTTATGGACTTTTAGATTGAATACTGTTCGTTATCTCCATATCCTTTTGTTTCCATAGCAATGGTAGGCATTTAGAAATTTTTGAATGTTGACTGAACAAAAAAATGTCTAATCATTATTTCTGTAAATTTTCATTACAATTGTTCAACCCACGTTGGAAAACTTTAAGCTGTGCGTATATGATCCTTTTATTTGTTTCTTTCATTCCTAAGACGACTTTTTGCAAAAGATTCTATTTTTTAAATTGAAATTAATTTGACAGAA